TTGCATTCAACTGTCGCAATCAAAGACTGCAACACTATCGCCATTTCGCTGTGCGACATGGCGATATCGACGCCCATCGACGTCGATGGGCGTCGATGGCGCCCATCGACGCGTCGTTTGGGCGCCATCACCTGCGTCGGCCGCCACCTCAGTGATACTCCCAACCGCCGCCTCCGTCTGTGGTTACGGACAACGATCACCGGTAAAATGGGACAGTGTTCCGTATTTGGCCGTACACAGGAAGATGGACTACTTTGACGGTGCGTTACAGGTCCGGTTCACTCCCACGGTTTGGTATTTGCGGACAAGCGCGAGTGAAAATCATGACATACATCGCATGAGAATGTGAAGATGCAGCCGATAAAACAAATAACACGGTTCTGAAACCAAACTTGTCCAACATACGGTGCTGATCACCAGGAAACTCGATATTCGCGCCGAGCGTTCGGGCGGGGCACGCTTACACAATTTCTATTACATTTTTTTTCTTTACGCAACAAGTTCGCACTTCTGCCAAAAGATGGCGTGAAGTGTAAGCGCCTGAAGATATACTGTCCCGCATGACCGATTCCCGCTTGGTTTACAAATTCAATTGAAATGGACGATGAATTAGCGCTAGATGGAGGGTGAAAGTAATGCAATAGCCATTTATCACCTTTTGGCTAAGAATGCCTAATTCATAGTCACCACTAGAACCGTGACGCTTGGCGATGCAGAAAATCGAAATTGAATGCAATGAACTGAGTGAGCCGCCAGTTTTCGCCATTGCATCATTTCACACGTATGAATTTATCGAGCGTTTCAATTGCGAAAACACATCACACAGTGCAGTCTAGTTTCCATTGCGACGACCGACTCAGGACGGCCAGCATATTATTCCCGCGCTCTGCCAGCGCCTGTGGCAGCCGGGCTGAGTCGACCAGAACCCGTCCAATCCAGCGGGTTAGGTACATCGGTCGGTGACACACGAGCCCACCATATAGTCTCTGTACCAGTGGAGTCTCCAGTCCGGATTATACGACCATCGAGCACACCCTTCTCTACGACTGACAGGGTTGGATTCCCACTTCCCATCCAGCTCAGGTTGGTAGAGTTCTCAATGACCCGAGCTTCAGTCTCAGCAGCCAACATACCAATCCTAGCAACCCGTCTCCAATGTCGGCTCGGACCGAACTCCATACCCGCTGATCCCGGCTCACGGGCCGGTGCGGACCTATTCGAGGGTATCCTCAGGACCGGCACGGCGCGGTGCGCTGAGCCGCTTGGTAAATAGTGCATCACAATCACGTGCCACCGTCAGCCGGGAGCCGCGGCTGGCGCGGATAACCACACGGTTCGCGGAGGGACCCGTAATAACACCGTCACGTGGATGGCCGCGACCAATCGCTGGCAAGCGTGTGGAAAGGAACTAGAACGGGTGGCAGACGGCGGAGTGGCGTTTGATCTAAAAAGTCCAATGCATATAACGCAGACACAGATATCATCCCTAGCAACTAACCCATCCCGTCCCCTAATATCGCTAGTAGCAGCAACCCCTGACAGTCATCAGTCGTCACCACCGATCAACCAGTCAGTCACAGGTGCCGACACACCCACCCGGCCGTCGCCGCCGCCACGCCCCGTCGCGTCGTCGCCGTCGGGCCGACCGTCGCGCGGCGGGGCCGGAGGCAGTCCCACGCTGCTGCCGCGGCGGCCGGCCGACACTCCACTGACCTCAATACAGAGACTGCAGGCTACGAGCGGCCGGGCAGGCGAGCGGCAGGGCAGGCGAGCGAGCGGAGCAGACCGCGCCCGGTCCGACGTCGGTAAAGACGTCAGACGTCAGACCTAAGTCGCTCACTGACAGAGAGGCAATCCGGAGACGGAGGGAGGGAGGGAAGGGGACGAGCGACCTGAACCGGTTATGATTGAGACGATAAGGACGCTAGCAAATGGGAGCTAGAAAAACAGCTCGATAATATCAAACAGCTAGGGTAGGGTGGGGCAAAGCGCCCACCCTAACTTTCCAGCCCCAGTATCTCTTTATCTTACAAATTTGAAAGACAACTAGGTAGCTGATCTGGTAGCTCATTACCTTGGCTTTCTTCGAATAACACATAAGAAACAAGTGGCATGCATGGTTTTTGAGATATGTCATCCGAATTGAGAGGACTACAAATCGGGCGTTTTGCCCCAACCATGGGGCATAACGCCCATATGAGTGAGACATAACGCCCAGTCCTGAACGTTTCATTACACGTTCGGTACTCTGACAAAAGAATGCAGTATTTATCCATTCTCATTTCGTTTGACTTTAAATCGATAGATTACACCACTAAACACATCTTGAACACTGTTGTTAGTTGTTACCACCCCACTCCTCATTCAGTCAAAGGGCTGTCACCGCCTTGGAGAGCGGAGATTAGTTCGTGCGAATAAATTGTTCCAGGCGATACTAACCAGTATATTGCATATTTCATAAGAATCCTGAGCATTAGAAACGTATCCCGACACTCACTTTCAGCCAAAAATGTTAGCAAATTCCCGTACTGTATAACTCCTATTAGGGGTAAAACGCCCATGATGGGCGTTCTGCCCCACACCAAAGTGGGCGTATTACCCCAACAGCACATTCAAAACGAAGTCCACCAAAATTAAACGTGTGACGATTGTGTTGCAAAACAGTAAATGCTCAAAACATAGCTTAAATCCGCAGGTTCTCCGTAGCTAAATTCCATTGCCTACTTTAATCTCTATCAGACAAAGTTTTAGTAGTATGAAAACATGTAATATCTAAAAATTGTCTGAAATCAACTAATCTTTATCTTACGTCCAGAACAACCCACTTGTAGAACCGAAAAAGGGGGCAAAAGTAGATTCCTGCTCGTTCTTGAAAATGGCTATCGAGAATTCTTCGAAAAGTCGAACACTTCATAAAAAAGAGGGGTGGGCGTTTGACCCGCCCTGGGCGCTTTGCCCCACTCTACCATATAAATAGCCAGAGCGGTTGAACTGTGTGTGACAAGCTCCGATGAAGACATGTACGAAATGTTAAACCATATCCTCATCCATGGAGTACCTACTACAGACACAGCCGCTTTTCGAACCACTGTGAGATGCAGAAGCAGACCCAGGCTTCCCCTCCAACCCGTCCCAGTGAGACAGCTCGGCAGTCGCGAGGCTCGGTTCGGCGAAGGGTCCGGTCAGCAGACACTTTCGCCTCTCGTCACGCGGCGGACGTATGATGATTTCAAGGACGACCTCAGTGACCAGCAGACCTGACCAGACCGGGCTGGACTGGACCCTCAGCTGCGTAGTGCGTCCTCACCGGACCAGAAGAAACACAGGGGATTTAAATTCGCCAACGTACGGAGGAGGCTAGCCAAATCAGGGAGTTAAATTGGGAACACTGAGGCTGGCTGATACCGGCAACGCATTTAACGCGCACAAGTGCCTTCTTCCGATAGACATTCCCCATGACCATGGTTTCGTCTTAAGGATGATGAAGAGAGAAGTAATTTAAAACAAAACAATACATTGTTATTTGAAGCAGCAATGAATCATCGAAAACGAGCATCCGTTGTTGCAACTTGCAAGCTAGTTACCTGCTGTAAACAGTCAATAAATAACTATCAAAGGCAATAGAGCTGCAAAATAGACAATGAACAAGCCATGGGAACAAATACGACAACGCAATAACCACGTGACTCGAGATCACCCGTCTTCCCGACTCGTTCATCTTCGATTTCCAAAGTTCCTTCATCTAATAAGCCATTAGTAAGCCATCCTGTCATTTAGGCAACAGCTTCTCGCAAAACGAGTTCCATCAATTTCCCAACCCATCACGCGGCTGGCTCTTAGCGCTCCTTCCCGGTGCCATTTTCACTTTTCCATCGCGTTCGCCCCCTACAGCGGGCTCGCGAGGAGTCTACCCGGTGACGTCATAAAGACGACCCAGTCACGTCATCGACTGGTGTCTGCTCGGGAGACGTTCCCCGGTCCTGTCCGGCCACTTTTCCTGCCCGTGTCGCAAGCGGAGGCCGCAGCCGGTGCCGGCGGCGGGTGCGATCGACGTGAGGAGGCCGCGAGGAACTAGCGATGAATGGTCGCCGGCCTTGGCGGCACCAAACCGGGTCGGTACCAGCCGACGCCTTCCACCTTAGTGCAGTACAGCCGGTAGCGCTGCAACGCATCCATCTGTTCTTCCTGATCCTGTGCTCTTCTACGACAGAACTTTCTTATAAGCCAGTATCTTTCGTACCTGATGCCCCTCGTAAAACTTCTACGTTACCCTCGCTGTTCTTATCCACAGTCCCCAACCGACCAGGAGACCTGAGTACTCGAGACTACCGAGGTCACGTAGGAGAGTGGCCACCGTAGGACTTAACACGGCACATCCTGTTGGTAGCACGGTGCGGGAATTTCCATAAGGCAGGTGTGGCCAGGTTAACCATATGCCAGTGAGTCAGAAACTCCACGGAATCGGGCCTCTCCCCACGCCTTCACTTTATCACGTCATAACGGAAAAGCACCCCCTCGACACGTGACTGTCACAACCAGACCCTCACCAAGATTCCAGGTTTTTTATGCCTCTTGATGTGTGTTTTCCGATAGCGCAGTCACCACGTGCCCATAACCAGGGCGTCGATTGGATATTCATCGTTACACTTCACTGACGATAACAGCCATTTCCAATTACTCAACTGTATCTACGGCAATTATCAAACGCCCGGATAGTTAACGTCTAATCCATGGTAATTAGGCGTCGTTCAAACACCAGCCGCAGCCCGCCTCATGGTACACCGATGACTAGCTAAACCCACAACTACGCAACGACGCATGCCGGTGACCCCCCCCCCCTCCCCTTCTCCCTGCGCCATGTCAATCGCCGCAGGCATTCTAATAACACAGCACGCAACACATTGCGACATGGCACCCCAGTCACTGTGACTTGCATACCACACTCCCTACATGATCGATCCGATCCCAACCCCAAGAGAGGAAGCAGCGGCCGGACTCACCTTTGGGCATTCCACATGGCGGCTTGGTGCGGAACGAATCCAGAAAGTCCAGGTCAAACTTGCGCGCCGGTGGAAAGGTCAGCGCGACGTGGCCCCAGGCGATTGGGGTCAGCGCGAGTAGCGCCAGCGGGCACAGCCAGCGGGTCATGGCGGGAGGTGTGGAGAGGGCCCTCAGGCCGAGCTGCAACAGAGAGGGGGCGAGAGGTTAGCGCGAGATCCTTGTGGAGGTGACGAGGCACACTAAGCCGAGGGAGGGGGCTAGAGGGAAGACTGGAAGGGGTGATGGTTGGGCGGTGGCGTGGATGAGGGTGAAGGGAGGGTTGGAGGGTAGAATGGTGTTCCAATACGGGAAAGGAGGGGGCTGCAAGAAGGGGAAAGGAGGGGGCCACAGGGGGGGGGGAGAATAGATTACGGCTGCGGGGCGCGATAGGGTTGACGGGGGACAGGGGTCGTGGAAGGGGAGCCAGTCACGATCCTGCAGCCTGGACAGGCAGCTGCGGTGGTCAGGTCTGGACAAACCCTGAGTCACAGGGGGCGAGGGGCGAACCGCCCCAGGGATCGATACATTTTCAACAAAGGGAGTGAGCTCGTCATGAACTGTCACCAGCCGTTCAGCCGAGTTCGTGATGCGTGACAATATCGTGATTCAACAGTAAAAATACGCAATAAAAATAGCACAAACGAAATGCGTGCGATTCACTTTTTATACGCAGAGTTTTCCATTTTTATTTCGACGGGTCGATTGAGTCAGGGACGTGCATGCAAATCCACGATATCTCAGGCGAATTGTGATAAATATCGGTCATTACATCGTCTCTAATGGCTTTTGATTGGTGGCCGAACAAAACACGTCATAATTCATTCAGTCACGATAGCCTTCCAAAATATGCATCCAAAGCAGTTGAAGCAATTTGCCGTCACATGACCTTTGACCTGCTGAACAAAACAGAGTATTAAGCCAGATTCAATACAGCAAAACCCCTTCTAGATGAGGCATTCTCAGAATTAAGCATTAACTATGAATATCGCAGAAACGTTTACGCTGTGGACTTTCAAGCAAAAGGTACGTTTTAACTTGGGTAACAGGGAACAAATTTATATCGCATCGAAAGTGACAGTCCAACGTTTGTAGGCTTGTGTCAGTCTGCAACTGGAGCCAAAGCAGCATGAATTTAGTCTCAGTGAAAGCAAGGCTACGATTGCGGTCTTTCCTAATTAAAGAAAGTAGCAATGGCCAATGGCATTGGCCATTCCAATTTCACCGACCAAAAGATGAACGTTGGACATTCAGAAACATTTGGGACATTTGGGGCGTGCTTCATAGATAACAGATTGAACATGGTATTCGTGGGGCAACTAATTGCATCATCAATTTAAACTAGCTGCGCTATTATCGTTTACGGTTCAATAACCACTTTACCGTGACATATTCACAATGACGCAACAGAATCCGCGTCGGAGCAGCTTCCACAATGATCGATAGAATGACGGTCTCGCCACAGCTCTTTATCGGCCCAGCCAACCACTACACATGGGGCAGACATTATTTCGCACATGGCCAGACACATCGAATTGAGGCATATCGTGTTCATCATTTTTGTCAACAGAAGATGTCATTGTCACCTCTATCGATTACACCCGGTCATTCGGCCAATTTGGAACTCTCGACGGGGGTGGCCTCTTTTTTTGGACGTCCATTCAGGTCAATCAATAGCCGGGCAAGAGGTAATGGAAAGCCAATAGACGTCGCACAAGAGCCCAAGCCGTTCAGACCAGGAAGTGAGCGGTAACTGAGCCCCTAATCGATAAGTAATCGAGCTTGGATCAAGCTATTGACGTTGCATTTCTGTGCTGCTGATTTCTAGTCAAATAATGTCATTAGTGAAAGTAATAAGGATATCAAAGTAAAATATCCCCTGACAACTCGCATTTGTTATAACGAGGCTGAGGTATGTTTATTGTTTGCAGCTTTTCAAAACCAGAAGGAAATACTTCAAGCAAATTGCATTGATATGATGGCTGATTTTGTAACTGAAGTGACGCACTAAGTCAAACACTACTCCGGACCCCACCAACCATAACAGCAAGCCTCGCATCCCCAGTCCCCGCCCTCCCGTGCCACAGGTCTCCACCCCTCTCCCTCCTCCCATCCCCATGCACTTAGCTCATATCGTCATCATACAAATCAATCGCAGTGCCATCGAGCCAAAGCCGTCTGTGTCGGGACCGACCAGGCGCACCGATACATGAGCTTCCATAATGCACACGTCGCCTCCGATTACAGGTCCCATACCGCCCGCGGCGGCGGTGAGGGGGAGAGGGGAGGGGAGGGGAGGGGAGGGCGGCGACCGAGCGGCCTGTATGCATTCCCAGGGGGAGGCTCGTCGTCTCATCGTTGATCAATAATGGCGGCATTATGCCAGGCAAAACACCACTCAGACACTCGTTAAACATGGAGCAGAGCCGAATGAGGCTCGTTTTGGATGATACACAGGTAGCTGCGGCCGGAAAATGTGGTCACTTGTGGTAACTGGAAATCGCCGATCCGTGTGATCCATGAAAAATGTCTCGGACAAGTGAGATCAAATAAAACCACTTCTCAAACGGACAGGAATGATATTAACAACAATAACTAGTATGGGAAACTCACCGATAAGGGGAGTGGGAAACTCGTCCACTCAGAGAACAAGCAATGATCCAAGTAAACAGGTAAGGAGTATAAGTATGTACGAGATTGACAGACGATGTGTCCCAAGAATGCCGCGATCACAAGTCTATTGTCTAGTTCAGAGCTCGGACATGTTCGTAGCTGAGCGCGGATATGTCCGGAACGGTGGACACAATGTCCGGTCCAAGGGCGCGGAATTATCCAAAGCATGTCGCGGACACTGGACAGTTTCTGGGTCAGCCATGAGCGCCCGTGATCGGGTCGATGGCCCAAATAGCTCCGACTGGACGATGGTGTGAATATGGAACTGGCCCGGCCGCTGCCCGACCGTAAAACAACACACAGATGCGGTACAATGAAAAGGCGTGTGTGTACGATATCGGTGCCCCCTGCCGCGATATGTAGGCCATTCCCGGCACATATTTCACATCAATCATGCCAAGCACGGTTGTTAACAACTCGCCCACAAGGTCGCAGTCAGCGGGGATTGATAGTCTGATACAGGAAGTCTTGAACATTAGCGTGTCAGAAGTAGTTCTTATCGACGGGCCATGCCGTTGTAGTATGGTAATGCAACTGATAAAGAATATCAAAATATGGGAAGCATCGTTACATCTTTCGCCGATCTATGATATCGCAACGCCTTCACAGCTCGGTGGAAGTCTCACATGGACGACCGTGCACCGTAACAGAAAATCCTCAACACAGACAATTTATGGTAGCTTATTCACTAGATCATTTATGAGACATTTCCATGCTATTTTTCACGACTTTTGCTCATTGTTATCTACCTGCATGTGAACTAGAAGCCATTTACGAACAAATGGTACCATTTGTTAGCACAGCCAGGCGAGCCATGACGTCTTCAACGCATCAAATTATTAAGTTACTTCCAGAGCGGAGGCATTCAAGCCACTACGCGCGAAATGGTGGTCAAAATTGGCATTTCCACCTCTGTGTCGATGAAAGCCAAACATAAAACTAATACCAATTGTTCAATGAGCTATGAGAAAAACTGAACAGTGAACGATTCGACAACCGCAGCTTTTCCGACATAAATAAACGATCACAGTATCCGATGTCCAGCTATAAAGCAGTCTCGACTGTAGAGAGATGTCTCGTCTTCCGTTTACAAGCTCCCACGGGAGTCAACGCCCCGCGGTCTTGCTTTAATATTGTAATCGTGCTTCTCCTTATATGTTTACCAATGCCACATCTTCCCATCCTCTAGTTATGCCTCAAAACACACTCCTGTGACTCCAGTTTAGAGTTATCCAGCTGGTTTCCGGTAAAACCACATACACATCAGAATCTCAACGGCGGAACAGGATGTTGCAGATAGAAAAGGCGAATGGAGTATTCCAGTGCGTTTTACTGTAACGTGCAGATAATTTTTAAATGGAAATTCGTAAATGAATGACGTAGTATCAACCTACACACATGTGATACAAATTTAGCTTAAGTGCTCCACAACACACACATTATTAACATAACAAAGAGAACTCTGCGAACTATACCATGACCGAAAGATGACAAATTGGGCCACATAAACCCACTGCTGTAACGATTAGGCGACTGTTACTGCAATGTCTGCCCGTCATGCCAGTCAACGGCCCGCTCACAGAGATGCCCTTGAACCGGGAGTTATGCTGGCTCATGATCCAGGCTACCTCGCAGCGGGGAACGATTGCACAATGGATAAACCTGTGACCGGTAGAAAAACGAGCAGGTTCGTTTAGATATGCGGGCTTAATTGAGACGCTGTTTTAATCAACGAGAGCTTGGAGCAGAGATAACGACTAAGAGAACTTTATTGCTTTCCCATGGATGAAGTGATTTAGACCGACTTAACCAGCGCCTGCGGATGTTCCCCAAGCCTGAAAACCTTACAAGCCCCCGCAGCGTCTCCAGTGCAGCCCAGATGGTGCGAGCCGGTGTTTTTTGTTTGCTCCTAAGCGGTGTGCCGCCCCGCCAGCCGGCGCCACTCCCAGCAATTTGAGAGCGGGCCCGAGCGCCGGCACCGACAGCGATTTGCCCGCGCGCCGATGCGTGACGAGCGAGCATCGAGCGATGACCGCACGTTCGGCCGCGCCGGAGCGCCGCCGCGCTGCTGCCGTCGACCCCGACCCCTCACCCTCCCCCACCCACTCCGTGAGGCGGCCACCTCTGCTGACCCGCCCCGAAGGCCATCGGGCCAATAATCAGCGCATCATTGACACGGGGCTGCGCTGCCGGGGCGCGGGCCGACCGAGGGCAGCAGAGGCCGCCGCTGCCGCCCCGCCGTTGACCCCGCGGAGGAAAACAACGATAATGGGCAGCCCGGCGGCGGCGATCGGCCCGGCTCTCCGCGGAGCAGCCCAGAGACGGCCGGAGGCTGAGAGGTGTCTCTGTAAATCTCCAGAGATTTCCAGAGACATACGGGCGTCTCCTGAAACTCGGACACACCCACAGCGTCCATGGAGGCGGCGCCCAGCACTACGCAGATGCGCCATTAGATGAGATAAACGTGTCGG